AAAAATCTCCTGAATTCCATTTTATTCCATTTATTGAAATTGAGACCACGATTTCGAAAATCTCCTGAATTCCATTTTATTCCATTTATTGAAATTGAGACCACGATTTCGAAAATCTCCCGAATTCCATTTTATTCCATTTATTGAAATTGAGACCACGATTTCGAAAATCTCCGAATTCCATTTTATTCCATTTATTGAAATTGAGACCACGATTTCGAAAATCTCCCGAATTCCATTTTTTCCATTATTGAAATTGAGACACGATTTCGAAAATCTCCTGAATTCCATTTTATTCATTTATTGAAATTGAGACCACGATTCGAAATGAATTGAGACCACGATTTCGAAAATCTCCCGAATTCCATTTTATTCCATTTATTGAAATTGAGACCACGATTTCGAAAAATCTCCTGAATTCCATTTTATTCCATTTATTGAAATTGAGACCGATTTCGAAAATCTCCGAATTCCATTTTATTCCATTTATTGAAATTGAGACCACGATTTCGAAAATCTCCTGAATTCCATTTTATTCCATTTATTGAAATTGAGACCACGATTTCGAAAAAAAAATTCCATTTTATTCCATTTATTGAAATTGAGACCACGATTTCGAAAATCTCCCGAATTCCATTTATTCCATTTATTGAAATTGAGACGATTTCGAAAATCTCCTGAATTCCATTTTATTCCATTTATTGAAATTGAGACCACGATTTCGAAAATCTCCTGAATTCCATTTTATTCCATTTATTGAAATTGAGCCACGATTTCGAAAATTCCTGAATTCCATTTTATTCCATTTATTGAAATTGAGACCACGATTTCGAAAATCTCCTGAATTCCATTTTATTCCATTTATTGAAATTGAGACCACGATTTCGAAAATCTCCTGAATTCCATTTATTCCATTTATTGAAATTGAGACCACGATTTCGAAAATCTCCTGAATTCCATTTTATTTCCATTTATTGAATTGAGACCACGATTTCGAAATCTCCGAATTCCATTTTATTCCATTTATTGAAATTGAGACCACGATTTCGAAAATCTCCTGAATTCCATTTTTATTCCATTTATTGAAATTGAGACCACGATTTCGAAAATCTCCCGAATTCCTTTTATTCCATTTATTGAAATTGAGACCACGATTTCGAAAACTGAATTCCATTTTATTCCATTTATTGAAATTGAGACACGATTTCGAAAATCTCCATTCCATTTTATTCCATTTATTGAAATTGAGACCACGATTTCGAAAATCTGAATTCCATTTTATTCCATTTATTGAAATTGAGACCACGATTTCGAAAATCTCCTGAATTCCATTTTATTTCCATTTATTGAAATTGAGACCAATTCGAAAATCTCCTGAATTCCATTTTATTCCATTTATTGAAATTGAGACCACGATTTCGAAAATCTCCTGAATTCCATTTATTCCATTTATTGAAATTGAGACCACGATTTCGAAAATCTCCTGAATTCCATTTTATTCCATTTATTGAAATTGAGACCACGATTTCGAAAATCTCCCGAATTCCATTTATTCCATTTATTGAAATTGAGACCACGATTTCGAAAATCTCCTGAATTCCATT